AGCTTATTGTTTCTGTGTAGCTGGAACTGAATCGGGACTTGGAACACGAATTGTCATTCTTCAAGCGCCAGTTTTCGGCCAAATCTATTTCACATGTGCACGAAGCGTTCCTCAGTATAATCACCTGAAGTGAGGCAGATATTCCCTTCTGTCAAAGCTCTTCTCCGTCTCACTGCTGATTCCTGCTAGTTCCTGCTCAGCCGAGCGATCCTTCAACACTCTGCGCCGTATCAAAACTTGGCTGCGCAACTCCATGACGCAAAACCGACTGAACCACTTGATGGCGTGTGCGGTGCATAATTAATGATCCCTTCATGTCGTCAAGATATTCAAAGAGAACAGTCCTGGTCGTAGAATGAACGTCTTTGGACGATTCACTTAACTTCATGAACAATTAATATTTGTACAGCTTTGATGTAGGTAGTCAATTTTTCCATAATGTCATCATATTACCCCTAGTTACAGCCTTCATCGAAATAACACTGGTACAGCGGCACGTCGAATTACCAAATAACACCCAATAACTGCCCAATAACTGTCCAATAGCACCCATTAACTCCAAAATAACATCCAACTGTTGGTAATTATTTATTGCGTTTGGTAATGAAATGTTCCAGGTTTCGTCCGCCTCCCCCCCCCCCCCACACACACACACAAAAAAAGTTATGACAAATCCACGCCCTTGGGCATAATATACAGTAGCAAATCGGAGACATTTTTTTAAAAACGTCAAAACATGTTAAAGATGCTTTATCATGTACAAACTGGGTGATTGGGTGGTATATTTTGATGACAAACACATTTAAACTAAATAATCTATCAAACGTTTGCTTCAAATAGTTCTCATAGTATTCGCGAGGAAATACTCCAAGATGTAAAAAACATATTTCAAGAAGTAGTGTTATTCGCGTGACCTGGAATTCGCGGAAAATTGCAAAGCCGAGAGAGAATTCATCTATATATATATTTGTGACTGTCGTTTGTCTGTCTGTCTGTCTGTCTGTTCGGGGTTGGCGGCTACACTAGGTCTGCCTCGAGTCTGAAATTTGGGGTATAGGGGTAGCTCGGACCGGGGAATAACATAGGCCAGGTGGCGTTAGTCTACCACTTCCGGTTTCGGAGTTATGACCCCCGAGCGAAGCCGGTCTGTTCGGGGTTGGCGGCTACACTAGGTCTGCCCCGAGTCTGAAATTTGGGGTATAGGGGTAGCTCGGACCCGGGAGTAACATAGGCCAAGTGGCGCTAGTCTACCACTTCCGATTTCAGAGTTATGACCCCCGAGCGAAGCCGGGTATCCTGCTAGTAGCAAATAAAAGACAAAGCACTTATTATCTTCACTCGCTGTTATTTACGATAAATATCGGAGCTTAAGTAAATTCTGGGATTATTCCCATCCCACCTCTTTTTCCGCAGATTAGTCTCAGAATCTCAGTTTTTATACGTCCGTTCGCCTGTTTATCAATATATTATACATTAATGAGATTAACAGGAGTTATTCTCACCAAAGTTTTAATGTACAAAACATAGATTACTAATGTATGGACTATTAACTTTAATCCACACAAAACAACGACTATTACTTTCTCGAGAAAACAAATCTTTCCTTTGTTGGAACAGCACTGATAGCATATAACACAAGCATCTAGGGGTTTTAGTGGTAATTGTAATTGGACTGGTCATATTAACTATACCGTAATCAAAGTTTGTAAATTTATAGATTGTTTCAGGAGTTAAAAGTATCGTCTAAGCAGAAGGTCCCTTGAAACAATAAACAAAGCATTTGTACTACCGTTATTCGACTACGGTGGCGTGATCTGGAATAACTGTACTAAACACGAAAGTACTGTATTTGAAAACTTAAACAATCACTGGATTAGTGAGAGGTGCATCTCACAATCCATTGTATACAGAATCTGGGTTCACTTCGCTCGAAATTATACGATATCGCTATAAACTAATCCTGCGTTACAAAATGGTGAATAAAATAACTCAAGGCTAATACTACATTTATAAAAAAAACTCCTTTCTACCGTCCGTAATAAAAGACTGGAATGATTTACTGAACATATGAAAGCATGTCCTACTATGAAAATCTTAACCAACGGTGATATATTAATACATAAATATTTTTACACCCGATGTGGGGTGGCAACATCTTCTCAAAAGCAGCCAAGAGATTCATCATGGAAAACTTAAGATACACAATTTTACGCTCTACATTCCAAAATAACAAATTCCTTAACTCTCGTATCCTTCCGCCTCAAAATCATCAATATTCACGAAAACCTGACAGAAAATGTATTTTCAAACACTTTTCTTCAATTCTACACCAAAAAGTCAACATAGATCACTATGCAAAAAGGGAAAAGGGAAAGGGAGAGAAAGACTAAAAATACCTTTCTCCCTGTTTTCGTGGGTAACCAGAGTAGGGTCTATTTGTACCAAATGTGAGAAAATATTATTCTCATGACCATTACATCAGACCGAATATCAAATGACCTAGTTTCTTTTAAACCCCAGGCGGCAATGTGTACAACGCCATTCACCATTCTCCCACATTCTCCAGGAATATCAGCCTAACAAGTGGAGTAACATGTTTTTATTAATCTACATTCTCCGGGAATAAGCCACGCCGATCTACTTGTTAAACAAGCTATAGGATACCCTATATTAACAGTGAAGATGTAATTCAAGGAAATTTTATGCATGAATAACCAGCTAAACTGCAATGACATAATACCTCAATGACCCACGTATTGTTGTAGATTACATGGCTGTTGACATAGTAGAGACAGATTTGTTGGTATAAAAAAACAAACAAGGCCCTAGGTGGGCTTAAACACCTATTGGTATGCTATAAATGAAATGTTGCCCGGACAGCGGCGCTACGGTCTACTCTCATATTGAATTCCAACTGCCAAGGAATGTTTTACGTGCACACCAATGTTCGTCCAATCCGACCGATTATAAGTTGACCTTTGCAAGGCCCTCTATCATGCACTACTGACAATGGAACCATGCCGGAAAATCCCGATGAACTTTTTCGGCTAAGGTAGGGATCGAACATGGGACCTCCAGGTTAGGGAGCCAATGTCTTACTCACTGAGCCACTGTGGCTACCGTAAAATGTTTAGAAGTTGAGTCTAACGTCCTTTCAACATAAACTAGGCTATTTCTAGACTTTCCATCTATGCGTTTCCGCCAGTGAAAGTCGACCTTATGCAAATGTAACGGGACCGTTTCCATGTAAACTCGATAAGCATATTTTTCGCTGTCCTTTTTTCTCCAAATGGCAGATTTGTTGGACATGAAATTATTATAAAAAGGTGACGACTGAACGCAAACTATGTTGTTAAGAGACATCCCCACTTATGAGTCATTAAGATTATATGGGATTCCCTAAACTTTTCAACTGTTTTTCTGTACACATAGAAACGCGCGCATGGAAAGCGTCCCTAACCTGAGGCATTTCAGTTATTCTCTTATACGCAGGGGCCTGGACTAACAATCTGGAGAAAACGCAATATCCGTAGCAAATCAACGTACCTTTCACCTCGAGAATTGTTTTTGGTTATTATTCGAAAGACTCGGTCGGGGCGGCGGGGCTTAAAATACCATACAAAGGATATATTTTGACGGCGGGCTATTGTTGTCTGAGATTAGTATGGGCCCACACTGCACGATGGGCAGAGTTGACATTATAAATGAAAATCACGTATGTTTGTTCAAAGTTGAATGTTGACAGTCTAAGTATCGAATAATTTTCATTTTAGCTATAAAAAGTAAATTATTTCGTGTACCTAAATCTAGCTCTAAAAAGAAAGCACCAAATATATCGTGTAAGTATCGAATCATTTAAATTTGATATATCACCTTGAATACATCGTCCGCGTTGTTAGGAAACAGTATGCAACTTTTAACTAACGATATGTCGAATCTTGTTTCGGAAAAAAAGTAAGTATACTCAACCTCGCGAACGACACTCATCACAAATATAACAAAGATAAAACTTCGAAAGGGGGGGGGGGGGGGGGTATATGGTAAATTTTAAGGAAATGTTAAAGAGCAAAAGTGTCTTTTGGATAAATAAAATATACGCAGAACAAGAACAATCAAGAAAAATTATTTACGAACATATTCTACAAAATCAGAATATTAATGACATGAAAGTATGTTCACAGATGAAGAACTTATCGCCTCAACAGAACCACTGAGCTGCATGTACGACACGCAATACACGTGGGAAGGGTTCATTGTCAAATTTGACACGTCATGGAAGGGTTGATGAAAACTGCCGCTTGCTGGTTTATCTATCCATGTTTGCTTTCCTATTGGTTCTTGCATAAGATTTACTGTTTAGCGTATATTTACTTAGTGTGTTACGTTTAATTTGATTAGGAGACGTGTTTGTCGACGTGAACGTCAACCGACAACACTGCAAGAATTGGCCGTGGCACTGCAAGAGGAGTGTGTAAGATTGATCCAAATCGTGATTGGACGGTTGATTAGGAGCATGCCACGACGAATTGCTGAATGTCTGAGGATTGGTGGAGCAATTACTCATTATTAAGACAAAAATCAAAAACGTCCATTTTCACTTTTGACAGTGTATCTCTTTGCGAGTGAAATGGGTCCGTCAAATAAGCTGCCCATATGAACTGTTTATGTTCAAGTGTAGGCAATTGGCTTGTTATTAACATACACTGGTCACCTCTAATAAAAACAGCAGTACATTTCCGCAGCTTTGTATTGTTTCTGAATATCCCCTACTTTTTTTTGAAGAGTATATTAAAATATCTTCTTAATAATGCAACAATTGTTGTAAACGACTAAGTTGATATCACGGGTTAGAGCAGCAAGACACAGCTGATCATGTCTGACAAGGTAAGTGGGTAATGAATCTAATGAGCTAGACGCAGATGAAGTAAACATGGTCGTTTTCCTGATATCGTCAGTCGTAACGTTTTCAAAAATAGACAAAGTTAGTTTCTTCGAAGATCTTAGATGGTGGATTGTTATATTAGACATAATTTCTTTTAATTTTACAAATTGTATCAGAGAAATGTATTGAGAAAGATTCAGAAAGTTCGCCATCATCAGTATGTTCTGTAAGAATGTTATTGTCATCATTGTTTTTTCAGACGACCTTCAACTTGGCTTTGATCAAAGCTATAACTAATAAAACCAGTTGACTTAAGGTTTTATAGAATAACGCTATATGACCTAAAGTTATATCTAATAATACCAATTACGTAAATTAAAGTGTAACTATATAATATGTATCAAGAGATATTTCAGAAAACGGTCAATTTCTTTTGGGTTTTACCACCAGCTCTTTAGCCACCCCACAGTAGCTGCCACAGCTGATGACCCATAATCATACACAGCAGAACCTATAGCCGTTACTAGCGAGTCATTATTCTCAACTTCTTTTATGACTTCTCTGTTTGGATTTATTTTGGCATTGTCCACCAATTTCTCATTAATTTCAGTTAACTTTAGTAGCGTTTTAGAGAGTGAGGAATCCCGGTCTTCATGGACGATCTGCCGTTTCATTTCTTCAAGTTTCTTCAGTCGTTCGGCTTCAGCTTCCATTTCTTTTCGTCTTATCGCATCCTCTTCTCGCAGCCGTTTCTGCTTTTCTTCCAGGTCCCTAAGTCGTTCTTCCTCTATTTGTGATGACCGTTTCTTGGCTGCCTCTTCCTCGTAAAATTTTATTCTTTCTTCTTCCAGCGATTTTAACCTATCCTCTTCCTTCTGTTGTTCGGCTTTTCTAATATCATCACGTCTTTTTCTGTCTTCCTCGAGTTGTTTTAATTTTTCCTCTTCGGCTTTTTGTATCTCCTGTCGCCTTAATTTGTCCTCTTCCCGTAATCGTTTCTGTTCTTGGTCCAGTTCCCGAAGTTTGTTCTCTTCCTTTTCGATCTCCTTTTGCTGCAGTTCCTTATGTTCTCGAATCTTTTTCTTTTGTTCTTGCAGAGCCGAAAGACGCTCTGCCTCTTCTTCCATCTTTTGAGTTAGCAATCTGTTCTGTTCTTCAATTTCCTGTATCCGTCGGCGTTTCTCTTCAAGCATGTTTTCAGCTTCTTGGGTGTCCTTCAAAAGTTTATTTCCGTCCGTTCCTCCAAAGTTCTCATTCGTTGCTTGATTGAAAATTTGGTCTCTTTCTTCTTTGAGTTCGTTTTGCCTTCGTTCCTTTTCACTTCGAATTTCTTTTCGTCTTACCTCTAGGACTTCATCAGCTTTTTCATACGAGTCGTTCGTATAGTAAGCTCCGTTGTTTTCACCAATAGTTTTATAGATTAAATCCAAAATAAAATCCACATCTTCTTGTATTTCATCTTTATGTGCCTTGTTATTGATGAATGCGAACCTGTAACCGCACCGTTCGAGAAGATTCTGCAAGACGGGTGGTGAATTTAAAATGAAATCTTTGGGTGAATCATAACCATCCAAATCATCTTTGCGGGTAAAAACGATGATGACGTGTTTTATAACCTGTTCGCCAAACATCTCTTGTAAGATATTCACAGTATCGGCTTCCTCTGGTGTAAATCTCCCCACGGAGATGACAAAGATATAAATATGGGGACCAGGGGCTGTAAGGGCAATGCTTCTTACAATTTCCTTACTGGTTTGTTCGTTAGGTTCTCTCGTGTCGAACAGTCCCGGCGTGTCCACGACTAATAAGGTAGTTGCATCATCTAAGCACCTATCTCCAAACTTGCATTGTTTAGTAACTGACATTAAGCTCATAAGATACTTGAACACATTTGTCTTTAAAAGATTACTACCAAGGTGGCTTTTTCCTATTCCTGTTTTTCCAACCAAAACTACTCGTACATCACCTAAAATCAAGCAGGTAAAAACAATGACTTAGTTGTAAAGGGGCGTAACAACATCTTATTAATCTGGGCCACGCTCTGCCACATAAAAAACAATTTTAACATAGTAGGCTAATTTAATACTAAATGCAATTAGTCAAGACTAACTTGAATAGGGTTTAGTAGTAAAGGGACTCTAATCAGGCTTAATGTGGTGGTGGTGGTGGTGGGGCGGGGCATCAACCGCGATCTACTTTCCAAATGGGCTAAGGTAGCTCCCCCACCCAATTCCATCCCGCCGTGTGCTTGTCAGTGCGGGATTCTGAAACAGGCACAACGGCATATATTGACCAAAATGTATGTTTTAAGCGCGAGGACGAAATCGTTTCTGTAAGAAATTGATTCCGTACCAGATAACGTAGATCCGGTTTTGACATTTGTGCAGGGTAGCCAATCGATATTATATCAACCGCAAATAAATGAAATAGACATATTATAACTCAAATCGAATAACACTTACCATTAAGACCCAGCATATTTTTACCAATTCTGTAATAAAATGGTACATATCACTATTTAAAAACACCTTTTAAAAGTCACTAATTATCTCATTACATGTGTAGGAAAATTGATACACACCGTTTATACCTTGTTATCATGGGACATGTACTTGAGACTGAAAAGAGTACGCAATGTCCATTTCGACGTGTAGAGAAACGCCACAAACCTAACCATAGAAAAAGTATCTTATTCTTAAATATCCTATTACTTACTTTTCTAATTTTTTTGTTCTTTTTTCTTGGGCTCGTCTCTCTTTCAGCTCTCGTCTTGATCTCTTAATTTTATCCTCCATACTTTCGCCGAAGATGTTCACTTGGTTGTATATTTTTCTTGCAGTTGAAACAGTTAGGTTCTCTTGTCTGATGACCATTTCTTGTTGTTGTAGCTCTTGAACTTCCTCCGCTGTTAATCGACGCGAGCTCTCTAAAAGATGCAGCTGTTCGTTTACTCTTTGAGATGCTGATGAGCCACCGGTGCCTGTTCAAGAATACAAAATAGATCACGTTATGACTTAATTCTTTCATCTTAAAAAAGAATAACACCCAGTGTTAACATCTTCGGATTCGATCGCAATAAGTCAACCACAGTCGCAGGTGTAAACAGGGCTTGTGTTAAAGTCTATAGCGGTCTATGGGGTCAATCATTTGTGTTTAAAAAATATGCATTAAAAATAATACAGTGTATATCGTGTTGATATTTCGTATGGTGTATTAGGACATACATTTAATTCTAGTTCCCGATACCGCAAGTTATCAAATTATTCCAAGTGAAATTGCCCCAAAAATTGGAAAACATAACCCATACCCCTTTGATTTCTGGGTTATTTGGTTTATATGGTTTGGCTGCAACAGCGGATATTCCAAATTTATTAAAACGGTACAGAAGACAAGTTGTGCTAATTTCCAAATGAGGGATCGTCTCAAATTTAGGTCTTGCTACAAGCTCAAATTCAAAGGAAAGACTATGTCATCACTATTTTAAACACGCCCGTATGATAAAATAATGGTGGATTAGGAATCCTGATGGAATTACCTTTCCAGTAAGCAATACCCATTAGAGCAATTTAGACCAATCTGTTACTGCGAAATACTATTAGATAACTTGTCTTATAGCAATAATAGTTTTTCTTACCTTTGTTAGAATTCGCCATATCTACCATATAACTGTAACAACAAAATATAAAAATATTTAAAGTCTCTGGACGATATTTGAGGAACTCTCAATCAATTACAAACTACAATAATGTGAGCGTTGAGTCTACTCGGCATCCACTGTAGACGATAAAAGCGGACGTAAATCGAAACGGTCAAAATATATCTTGACATCAAACAACAACCTAAGAACGTAATTCATAACTTTCAATTCATTAAATTAATAAGATAGCCATCTAATCTGAAACGATTCCTAACTAAAGCAAAGTCATTTCATACATCACAATGGTCGGCTTTTAAGTATTTAAATTCCCCGATCTTTGATGTAAATGTTGAGACCATATAATGCCATACATGAAAATAAATATAATTTGTATTATTCAAATTTTATATTGAGCGTAAACAACATCAATTTTGACACTGACTACCTCGAAAATGTAATGGTTGTCAACATTATTACATAAGGGAAATGGGAACATATATTATAATAAAAAAAACGTATTGATTTCTTCTCGAAATTCTTTTTTTTGTAGGAAAAATTTTTGATTAAATTTACCGTCATTTAATCAGGAGAATGACATAGATTAGAATCGTGACATAGCCTGAATAAATCTTTTATGATATTTTAAATCTATTTTCGGCCGGTAGAAACTAGTCTCAAAACCCAAATTTCTGTGCCAAATACACGGTTATTTACTTTTCTTATTTTCTTGGGGTTTTGTTTTTCTTGATCTCGACTTTTTATCAGATTTTATTTTTATTTCGTAACTTCAATACTTTCGCCTAAGACATTGTCTCGTTCTTCCTCCGAACTTTCTGAAGAGCCATCGGTTCCTGTTCAAGAAAACAAAATCGCTACAAATTATGACTTATTCCTACATAAGAATGACACCCTGGGCTAACATCACCCCGGCAATAAAACGAGCCACAACCACAATTGTAAACATTAGTTTTCAGTGTAAAAGTCAAAAGCCATAAATTAATAATAATTATATCATGTTGATATTATTCGGATGGTTTTGGGCATAATTCTAGCTTCTGATAAGTATACGATGGAACAGACAAGACGAATATGACAATATTGCTAGAAATAAATGTCCGATTTCATTTTATGACCTAACTAGATTAAATAATTTGAATGAAATTAGTCAAATATGGAACCCCTACCATAAATGTAGATGCTATTATTATTAAGGTATCGAATGGGGTTAGGCATAGCCTGCTCCCCAGTCAAAATTCAGGTATATATTGAATAAAAATATTGTTTATAAAACTAGAATGGACGACATCGTTGTTGAAAGTCGATAAAATCTATCTATATATATATTTGTGACTGTCGTTTGTCTGTCTGTCTGTCTGTCTGTCCGGGGTTGGCGGCTACACTAGGTATGCCCCGAGTCTGAAATTTGGCGTATAGGGGTAGCTCGGACCGGGGAGTAACATAGGCCAGATGGCGTTAGTCTACCACTTCCGGTTTCGGAGTTATGACCCCCGAGCGAAGTCTGTCTGTTCGGGGTTGGCGGCTACATCTGCCCCGAGTCTGAAATTTGGGGTATAGGGGTAGCTCGGACCGGGGAGTAACATGTTTATTGCAATATGTTGGTTGCTTCCAGTCGTCTTTAAAAGTCCCGAAAGCCCACGGAAAACGCAGGCTGTTAAGCAGACGACCTTAAATTTGTCATATTCAAGTGTGTTTGTGAATTTACGACTTAGATAACTTGGTGATCAAGACGAAATAAGAACTGGTTCCATGTATTCCACAGACAAAAAACACATCGCGCCCCATAGGACTAATCTTTTGATCAAGAAAACGTTCAGTATCAATTCATCGTTGAGAGTTAAGCTGGGGAGTTTAACGGTAAAGGTTAATTATTTTGTAGTGGGTTGTAAGTCTACATATGTTATACACTGGTATATAATAGGGCCAAATCTAGTTTATCAAGAATGTTAACGGATCTAATAATAATGCGAAGTGTAGATTTAACTTTGGTATTATAACTGCACAGAAACGTGCACTAGATCAATTATTGTACAAACATAATTGAGACAAACAACTGTCTCCCACCTCTGCGAAATACAGAACATTTATAATGCTTTATCCACAACGTTATTATCCCGCGCCGAATAAAGTTAGAAGGATATTGTACACACATCAACCTATTACAGTAGTTGTGCCTTTTGCTATTTACGAATTGCTCGGATTTATATTTTATGTTTCAATGGAAACAAATTTGACTTAGTTTTTGGTGTATAATTTTGTTTCCGGAGCATATCTGCTAAACCGCTCAAGATATCTTTTTGAAACTTTGTACACACATCAACCCATTACCTTAGTTGTGCCTTTTGCTATTTAGGAATTTCTGGGATTTATATTGTTTGTGATTCCATGGAAACAAATTTGACTTAGTCGTTGTTGTACATTTTTGTTTCCGGAGCATATCTCATAAACCATTCAAGATAATTATCTTTATGAAACTTTGTACAAACATTTACCCATTATAGTAGTTATGCCTTTGCTATATAGGAATTTCTTGGGTTTATGTTTTGTGTTTCCCTGGAAATAAATTTGACTTAGATTTTGGTGTTCAATTTTGTTTCTGGAGCATATCTCATAAACCATTAAAGATATCTTCATGAAACTTTGTACAAACATTAACCTATTATAGTAGTTAGGCCTTTTGCTAATTTAGAATATCGGAGATTTAATAGTTTTTGTGTTTCCCTGCATAGTTTTTGGTGTCCAGTTTTTTTTCCGGAGCATATCTCATAAACCATTCATGATATCTCCATGAAACATTGAACAAACAATCTATTAAAGTACTTGTGCCTTTTGCTAATTTGGAATTCCTCGGATTTAATAAGTTTGGAAACAAATTTGACTTAATTTTTATGTACAATTTTGTTCCCGGAGCGTTTCTCATAAATCGTTCAAAATATCTTTTTGAAACTTTGCACACACATCATCCTATTACAGTAGTTGTGTCTTTTGCTAATTAGAAATTTGTCGGATTTAATAAAAATTCTCTGTTGAATGATTTTTACTACACATTTGAATTAGTTTTTGGTATGTAATTATTATTCTAGAGCATATCAAGATACCTTTATAACACTTTTACATTCAACAACCTATTATTTTATTTTCTGATGACCGTCCTTCCGTCCCGATTTCATTTCCGGAACATATTTCATTATCCGTTCAAGGAATCGTTTTGAAACTCTGCACATTACAGTATTATATTTTCTGGTGTATAAGCTTAAACATACATTATGCAAGAGCTAAATCTGCCTATTGTAGGCCTTTCTTTAGGCCTAAAATGTTATCTAAATTGTTAATTTGACATTAATTAACTTATCCAGACCATAATCAACGCTCGATGGCATCGCTAGCCTGCGATATGTACTGGATTAGAACCCGGACTGCTGCTTACGATTAAATCAAAAAATGGATAATCTAAACTATGTTTTTTATCGTACCAGCTTTAGTAATGATGATCGAGGCCAGGCCCAAAATTCAATCGCTAAATACTCGGTTCAAAGTGGATCAATTTGACTGAAATTTTCAGCAAATTCCCTTTACATTATCAAGTTTTTAACTATTATAGTGAGAACTGTCAGCTCTTTATCTAATCTCCCATAATGTATCTTTAATGTTTACCATACATCATCTGATTGGGGTGGGCAAAGGTTGTTGTGCAAACCTTAGAGGGAGGAGCGAATGTACCTTGTCGAGCTACTGTGATCAGAGTATGGATTTTCTGACTAGTCCCATTGATATTCCAAGCAGTCGATTTTCCTTATCCCTTACAAACAAGTTCAAGGGCCCGGGATGGCGATGACTAGTCATCTTGTTAGCATTTAATCAGGCATTAACAACGATCAATCGTATAATATTATCTATTTTGAGGGGGAAGCCGTTGACTCGCTAACCTGGAGGTCTCATTTTCAATTCCGGTGTAGTCCAGGACAGTCGCCACCCACCCCCTCCTTATCTGTAGTGCAGGGCCGAGGGTCTCGTAATGGCCAGTCTACAGCGGAGCGACAAACCGAGGTCCCGTGTACACATTGGTGTGTACGTAAATGAACCACTGACAGTTCGAATTCGAAATAAGAGTAGTCCTTGCGTCGACGTACATCCAAAATTTCCCTTATCGCAAACTGTATGACGTATGCCGGTCTTCATTATCCCAGTCGGCGAAGAAAAGCTGGACGTTAAACCCCATATCATTTCATTTCAAATATGCGGAGATATTATCTAACCAATATAATAGGATGAATTGCATATTAATTTAACGAACTTGTAGACACACGTCCTTAACATTATTTTACACTGATCACTTGTTCAAACACGCCCCTGTTTTATTATAGCCCATATGTTCATATTCAAAATAACTTTGAATGAGAGATTGCTATAACCGTAGCGGTTATTATTCTAAACATACAATCTTGAATTGTTCAAATTATATAAGCGGCATTACGTAACTGAATGAGGATGAATAAGACATGACTCAACTATATGGAATACCGGTTACTTAAAGGAGTTAAATCGCTAATATTTGGGACCTAGAAATTGACACAAACGCATATAAATAATAATATAATATGAATGTATATAAACTGATTTACATTCAATCGTTTCCGTTTTTACTCTAATTTCAAATCAGTTATGTTCGGCGAAATACGCCAGAAGTCTCGATCGAATGACAACCTCTAGCGTCTGGTTATTCCAGTCTACACCAATAGTATGTATTGCGCATGCTCTCCAGATATGAATATGCCATCACCATTTGACATGACTTGGTGAAATATGTCTAGCCTCGTTCTTCGACTCCCTCGTTAAAAATTGGCCTGAAACACAAATAATTCTTTTTTTCAATCTCGAAGACTTTGGATCATATTGAGTTAGAGACTTAGCTACTTTAATGGTGTATTTTTGTCGACATATAACGAGGATTCCCTCGTCTTTATCAATAAAACAAAACCAAGTACGAACAATCCAAACCATTTGACAAAATTCGAAGTCCTAAAAAAAACGGTATACGCAAAATAGTGTAACCATCAATTGGACTGTTCACTGTGTACAAAATACACGACAAACAGTGGTAACAGGTGTCCGGACAAGTAAGCTTATCCTGCCTGGTGCCACACCCGTCATAGCTGCATCCAAACCATCAGACGAAATCTCGGTAATATAGCGTGATTGGCCAATGGACTATCCGTATGCAAAATGCACGTGAACAGTGTTAACGATGTAGTAGACACAATCAGGGAGATAGTATACGCGTCAATTAAATATATCTAGAATAATAGCCGAAAGAGACATGTTATTTACCAATCAAGTCAATATGACGGCCTTAAAACTTTTTAAAGGTTTTTGTAAGTTTAGTGGGCAAGTATCCCTATAGTTGAAGCTTAGATGACAAATACCTCGATCTTCTTCTTAAAAAAATCAGAATAAAAGGAACAAGATCTCGCGTGACGAATAAGCTGAGACACAAACACTCCATAAGCTGGTGATATTAGAATATTACTACTAATGAAGGGAAAGTTAACAATCGGAAAGACAAAGTCATCACGTTTATCGTACAATTTAACACTCAGTTTGTGGCAATTGTCAAAATCGAGACGCACATCCAAGTAGGAAGCGTAATTGTCAGTAGTGGTTTTTTTTAATTTTGAGCTCATCGGGATATATGAATTCTGCATAATCACTAAATTTGGGATTATTCAGTGATAGAACAATCCAAGCACGTTTGACGAGAATCATTCGAAATTTCCAACTTTCACGTTAATTGAATGGGTGGGCTAGGTTGACGATAATATACACCAATCTTTTAATTGTTGTCCCCCGCATTTTCCTTCTAATTGAGCTTGGCGGTTCAAACTTGGTGTAGGTGTTTATTAGGTTAATGCCTTGATGGCGTTCGAAGATGAGCATTCTCTGCTTAGGCCAAGCAGAGATTAGCAATTTAAACATACATTATGCAAGAGCTAAAACTGTCTATTGCAGTTCTTTCTTTAGGCCTGAAATGTTATCTAAATTATTAATTAGACATCAATTAACCTATACAGACTATAATCAACTCTTGGTGGCATCGCTAGCCTGCGATCTTTAGTGGATTATGAGCCGATTTACTGCATAACTTTCCTTCACGATTTAATGAATAGTTGGATAATCGAGACTATGCTGTTTATCGTACTGACTTTAGTGTGGATGATCGAGGCAAGTCGGAAATTTCAATCGCTTAATTATCGGTTCATAGTGGATCATTTAAATGAACTTTTCAGCAAATTGCCTTTACGTGAGAACTGCCAACTCGTTATTTAATCTCCCATAATGTATCTTTAGTTGGTTGATGCTTTGGTACATGATAACTTTAGTACTAATTAAGTCAGAATGATGAAACTTGGTGTATAGTTTCATTACATTATAAATACCATGACTAAGTTCGATAATGACATTTCCTGCTCAGGGTAAGCAGAGCGATAAATAGTTTGATTGGTCGAGACTTTTGAACACAATAACTCACCTTCGAGTTGCGGTAGAATGTTCGTGCATTAGGCGAATGCCTTGATGTAGTTCGAAGATGAGTCTTTTCTGCTTAGGGTAGGCAGAGGTAAGCAATTTAATTGGTTGATGCTTTGGGACACGATAACTTTGGTTCTAATTAAAGTAGTTAAGTCTCCAACTTCGACATTGAAAACACGAATTATTTGTCAATTTAAATCAACATTGATGTTGTGATCTTACCGGGAAAAGGTGGGCTTCTGATATACAAAATTTAAGACAAAATTTACCTTTTACCATTGGTTCACGAATCGTGTTCCGTTTGCATTTCAGCGCCATTTGTAACAAAAACGACGCTAGACATATTCCACAAATCTTGTCAAACGGTGACGCCATGTTCTTATCTGTTCGTTCGTTTCTAGAGTTTTACGTCCACTTCCACGATAGGATGATATCGTATGATGGAATTTTCATTAATCGTCATTTCTTTCCGTTGGGTATGACTTGTAATATGTGGTATATTAATCCCGAAATGACATAGTTGCTCTTAAATGAATATAATGTTAACGCGCTTTAAACATCTAGATGCAATAGACTTGGTGTAATCATAGTTTTTAGTTATACACTGTTAACCACCCATAGAAGTTATAAATCGCGTACTTTATTCAGCTCGACTTAAAATGAATAGATGCGGTTTGTTTAACTCGAATGTAGATATTATATATCTATTCTAAATATACATCACCTTTCAGTTGAATCATAGAAATATCTTATTTTATAGTTTTACATATTTGTCGACATTAAGGTGTACTTGTTCTATTGTTCAATTTAGCCTATGCATTTTCTTGTTTCACTTGACTAAACAAAACATTGTATAGGAATGTAGACTTTTATAGATTGAACAAAAAGCTGATAAATGTCGAGATGTGTGGAACATGCTCGAGGCGATTTGTAACAAATCTTAGGCACGATATATAATTGATACTAGTTGAACATCAGAACAACATGATTATTTCATTGGAAATGGGGCGCATATACCCAAAGGAATCTGACAAACTCTAAAGCAACTGCGTCTCCTTCACTGGGCCCCTTCAATGTCTGTCTACCTGAGGAATAACATGTACATTATTTGTATCTGTTACATTTGTGCGGTTTATATATTAGATTAATATTATTATTTACACATGGGCGGGGAGTGGTAACGTCTTACCCCAAATAAATTGCAAAAAAAACCAAGAAAGTTTCGGAGAGCGATATTTCGTATCACATGTCAGTGATGAAACATATGCCACAAACACATGTCACGCTAGACACCTTTTATTTAAATTACATACACTGATTTTAACTTACACTGATTTTAAATGTTTTATCCATTAGTCAATTTAAAGAAAGTTCTATTTTCGAAAAATTGATGATACAATTAATGATCGATGACCGAATCCGGAATGGCTCCTGACCAAAAAATCACGGAATTTCAGGCATTTAATTTGCCTGCTGGAAGGCAAAAAGGTTCTATCTTCCAAATTACTATTTAAATTTTAATGTTTCACTTCACCCGTCTGCACAAAAAATTTGATTTATAAAAGCGTGTGCAAGTTAAATATATTTAATAGCGCTTTTATTTGGTGTATCTTTCATTTCATTTTTTTTTAATGAATTAGACTATATTATAATTATAACTATAATGTGCGCTTTTTGTTGTATAATAATAATAATATTAGTTTGATCAGCTATACTTTTTGTTTAAAAAATGTATGTTTTATCTCTTTTTCGCGGAATTCTATGACATATCTATCTGCATCCCTGTCGGGGGCAGCCAACTTCGACACAACAGTCTAAGACATAAAATAGATAGTGAGTAGGTACAAATACTTGGAACCTAAGAAAGCGTCTTTGTACACGTGACGTCATATTTTCATGACGTCATATGAAATTTCTGGCTTCACAGTCGCAACTTTATCTATATACGACTTTGTCGTAAGCTATCAGGTCGTTCAAAGTGGAATTACACCAACAATGAAAACATTAATCAATCGATTTTCCCGTAATTTGGTTTATAAGGTTTGGCTTCTGTTCAACAGCCGATAGTCCTAATTTCGTTTTGCTCGGCGTAACGTTGCTATAGATATAATTGTCCTTTCAAATTTGGCGATTTGGGTCCAAATGGGCCTGGACTTCGATATTAAAATGCCGGTAGCTCAATAACCTTTCAAAATCACTGACAAGGCAATGCCAAAATGATCATGTTTTTTAGGTTTCATCAAAGTTTTCTGACCAGTCGAAGCCAGGTATCAGAGAACTATTAAGAAGAACGCGAACAAACAGTGCCACTTCCCAATAGTCATGTATGTTGTTTTAATTTGAGCGGCATTTAGCAATTGTAAGACTTTTGTAGAATTTTTGCACTTTAAATTAAGGATAGCATTATATTGTATTAATTAATATCTCTGGCAAGTTACTAGATTCACATATTTGTACTTAAATCAAGTTAGCGAATTAGTGACAGATGGTTACATGAAAAGAGTTATAATTTGGTAAACATTAGCTGGTTCTGTGGGAATAAGAACATCATGTATTGCACGTGATAGAAAATTTACGATTGCATCATTTGGCTTGTTTAACCAATCTCTATACTTATTTATGTCATATTTGAACAATTAGATAATTGAAGGTCCAAAACCCAAAGCTACAAAACTATCATACTTGTGAGAATTCGCCAGACAGCAGACAGATTCTGGAAGGGAAAAGATGTAGACATTTCTATCAGCAGACTCGCCCATGGGGTTTGAGAGAATGACTTTAGTATTGTAACCTATACTATGCTTGTATTCATGTATCCGGCTATGATATATAAAATGTAAAAACGAACTGTTACATTGTTATTCCTGGTGAGGCAAACGTCTTAACTGAGAAAACAGTAAGAAGTATAACACAATGTGAAATGTAAGGAAAGACAAACAGAGACAAATTCTAGACAATCACAAGGCTTCTTAGATATGTAATAAGAAAAGATGCATGGGTCATACGTAGGATGTGGCGACCGAAATTACTGGCCCGCTCTCCACGTCTGAAAGACCCATGGTGCTACATATCCTATTTGGTGCACATGACTACGAAATCGAGTACCCTGGAAGAAGAAAATCCGTACCAACCAGCATCAGGAAACAAATGGCAGAAAGAAATCTGGTGGAAAAACAAATTTGTGGAAAAACAAACAGAAATCTGGTGGAAGAAAAAAGTTTGGTGGAAATATTCTTAAAATTAGGTAAATACATTTTTTCTGGTAATTGAGTATGTTAAATTTGTTTATAGACCAGATAACAGTAATATAAGATTTAAAAAAAAATAGTGTTTAAAATGCAACTGTATAGAGAATAAAATCTAGCCATTCATAAGTTGAGTTTTGACAGGGTTATTAAGCAATATTATATCACTATTTACATGTAGGTATGCGTATTATCAGGTTAACATGACCTGTAGTAAAATTGACATTAAAGTGGGTCTAGGGAGTAGTTTAAAAGGGATTTAATGGTATAATTACGGAATAATGATAAAGAAGCGGAATAGGGAATAAAATATGGAATTAATGTTAGTCTCCGGGTTCAGTGGAATGGCTTAGATCAAAATGGGAGTATGCGTGGTTAACTCATAGTTTGGTTTTTTTTTTCACTGAATCAGTTATTTCGTTGTTTCGATATATGTGGTTAGCTAAATAGAGCTTATATTTGTGTTTTTGTGTCGTCCATATAAGTGGTTTAGCTAAGTATAGCTAATATGGTTTTGAGACCCTTAGTCCAGGTTTCAAATTTATGATAATTTAACTTTTGAATAAAAAGTTGGGTTATGTTAAATCTAGGGATGTGTGTATATTTAACGGCTCGTTAAAATATGAGATTATCGCAAAGTCATTAGTACGAGTTTTTGTCTTAATAGTGAGTAATTGCTCCACCAATCCTCAGACATTCAGCAATTCGTCGAGGCATGCTCCTAATCAACCGTGCCACGACCAATTCTTACAGTGTTGTCGGTTAACGTTGACGAACACGTCTCCCGATCAAATTAAACGTAACACACTAAAGCAAAGATACGCTAAACAGTACACCTTATGCAAGAACCAATAGGAAAGCAAACATGGATAGGATAAACCAGCAAGCGGCAGTTTTCATCAACCCTTCCTTGAAGTGTCAAATTTGACAATGAACCCCTCCCACGTGTATAGCACTATTGCGTGTCGCACATGCAGCTCAGTGGTGTCTGTTGGGGCGATAAGATCTTCATCTGATAACATACTCTCCAAGCATGTCAAGTGTCCATTTTATCATATCACAATCTGCATAGGTATTTGCAGACCAATAGCCCCTGCTTTTTATGAAGAGTAGCCTATATATATTTGTTAAATGCTATTTTATGTCATTTTAAAATTCAATTTTGCTTTAAATTGTTCACGCGAGGTGATTAAGAATGTGTAATTTGACATGTCACTTTATATTCTTTTGTCTGATTATTTAAAACAATAGGTATTGACGTGTGTGAAAGTCACGTGATGCGTTAATGTATGTGTAATTAAAAGCTAGGTATGTCATGTTTATATAAATATGGACTGGTGTTTAGGGGGAATCGGTGCGCAACCATTTCCTTCGACATAGTTGTATTCTAAATAAATTATAGCCTGGTATTGTTATACGTTTGAGCTCCGCTTGTGCCAGTGTCATTCAGATAGGAAATGTTTATGTAATGTTGGATAGTGTTTATAAAAAAACGAAATACAAATTTGTAAAGGATTAGGTCAAAAAGGTCACATAACTGTGATGGTGAAGTATAAAATAATTCTAAAACGAAAACGCAATTATAAAATTGTCCATTACTGAGTTAAGGTCAAGCGGTCAAAGTTAATTTGAAGATATATAATTAAAGAGACACATCGAAGTTTATTTAATAATTAAATGGGGTTTAATTATAATTTAAAAGTAAGAGTTACTAATATGTTTTAGGAATAGTAATGTTAGACTAATATCAAAAATAAAGTTTAAAAAATTAGGAATAGTAATGTTAGACTAATATCAAAAATAAAGTTTAAAAAATTAGGAATAGATATTTCTTGGTCAAATGGCAATGACATGTTTGATTGACGGATAAAATTGTATAAACCAATCATAATTCGAAGAAAAACAAGAAAGTTTTCAACTTGAGACTATGGTAGCTGAAACAGACCAGTGGAAATCCAAGAAGAGGAAATGGTTTACCAAATTGGGATTTCCTTAGAATTTAAAGTGAAACCTGAACTTTATAAATATTATGTGATGTGTTATAGTGTTTTGAAATAAGGACTCATGAAAATTTAAAATAAAGACAATTTGTGTTTTCTGTGTTTAGGCGTAAGTGAATTTTCATAGGACTTTGAAGTACAGTGATGAACTTTTGGAGCGCTTTTGCATGCGATATTTGACTTGATTTTGGTTTATTTGTGTTTTCATTGATACTTAAATTCTTGGAACAGATTGACGCAGATTGTGATCATATGTAGGCCTACTATTGTATGTTAATCATATAGTAATTATATATATGTGCATGTTGAATGAATTTATAGGGTCTAGTCATGGAAATTTAGCCTCCTGCCTCTTCATTTCGCATAAATCCTTCCTTACAAAGGGGGGAGTGATTTATATATCGATTTTCGAGATTTCTGCTACATGTATGAATACTTATATAATTCTACAGATGTTGGTATGGTTATTGTAATGGATTCAGGGGACCTTTTACCTAATACTGAGCAAACAAATCTTAAACCACGGACCAAAGAAATAAAACCTTATGAAATCATATACAAAAACAAATAACAGCTAATTAACCAGAATCAATAGGGAAACCATTTAAATATATTAAGTAAAACCACAGACCAAAGATGTAACAACTAATTATAGCCAATATACCCATTAGGGGAAACCACTAATCATGAGTAGCGTTACAGATCAAAAGGAAACCTATAAAAACATATACAAAATAAATTACTTCTAATTAACCAATAATCAATAGGGGAACTGCTTAATCATAATATTAGTATAATAACAGATCAGAAAAAACTTATCTAAACATATAAAGTAAATAACATCTAAAAGCACATATTTGTAGGGGAAACCGCATATTCATTTACTTTATAGATGAGAGCCAATAAGGATAAGGAAAACACTAACTGTACTCAGCAATTTAATAGTTAAAACAATATTAATTTATAAACACAGAACTAACAGAAGGCATACTATAGGCTACTATTGTGATTAAAAGTTAATAATACAGTGGTTTCCCTCTACAATTATGTGCTATTAGATGTTATTTACTTTATATGTTCAGATAAGTTTTTCTGATCTGTTATTATACTAATACTATAGTTCCCCTATTGATTATTGGTTACTGCATCAACCACAATAGTATTGCACAAACTTCAAGGGTATCAATTAACACATGATCAGAATGATAAAATATGATAATTTGCGGTTTGAATCGTGATCAGCTACCTGTTAGAACGTTATCAGAGCTTAACAATAAACGTAATCCATCTTAAAGGGCAAAGACACGGATTTGTTGGATCCGGTAAGTTTGTTTGATTTGATTTGACAGACAAATAAAATATACCCCCAGTATGTTGATACAGTGCAGAAGACAGGTACCGCTAATTTCTAATTTCCTCTCACAAACTCATATGCAAAGTAAAGGCTATAATGTCACCATTATTTAAAACACCTAGATAACCTGTAACCTGACAAACACCCATCTGTGCAGAAAAAACATAAAATTTACCCACCCCAACGCTGCATGAAGAAATCAAGGTGCAGAACAATCACGATTAGTTTATTCGTCATGCATGGCTTTCTTGTTAGGCTAACTGTGCTAAACATGCGGCCCGCGGGCCAAATCCGATCCAAAAGGGTTTCAATGTGGCCCTTTGCACAAATGTGAACAAACCGACGCGTCGATAATTCTTAGACATCATTTATTAATTTATTATTGATTTCTTGTTTTAGCAAACCTCCGACTTCTGTACTGCATGTCCTAGATATCTAAGTTGTATGTAGTACAAGAGAACGTTGTGTATCATATGTAACGATTTTACTCAATTTAAAATCAATAAAATTATCTTTATCATGATATTTTTGTATATGTCCGGCCCACTTGATGTAAAAGTTTAGTTATGTGGCCCCTGAATCGAAATGCGTTTGACACCCTAGTTACGAGTTGAGGCATGCTCATCGCTGCACACATAGCTGATAGAAAGACATGCACGCAAGAAAAGCCAAATTATATTTTCCACTATATGCACATTACATATTTATCTTAACCAAAATGCATTGACTGACGTGGTTACATATTACGTTTTCTTTCTTCTGGACTGATATTAAGTCATTGTAAATAATGTTGTACTCACCTCTTACTTTACTAAAGTGAAAATATCAATAATCCAGGCAATGGGAGGTAATACTGTATGGCGTGCAACACAAAGGTTTTCCGAGAAAAACCTACTTGTGGTGACAGGTAGTTTCGATTTCAAATGTCGTATTTTGCTAGGTGTTTTAAGGTATGCGCTTGAAATCACAATGTCTGTTATTAAGTCAAGTGGCGTGGTATCGATTAAACTTGTGTTAAAACTTGTGTGAAAATCTACACATCACTTACACATACGCCGTCACGAAACAAGGGCCAAAGCTATTTTTAGTCTTCCACTCCCTTTTCCTTTTCCATGGCGATTTTTGTTGACTTTTTGGTGTAGAATCGAAGAGAAGGGTTTGAAAATACATTTTCTGGCAGGTTTTGGTGAATATTCATAAATTAGATGCGGAAGGATACAAGAGTTAAGAGGTTGGTTAGGTTGAAATGTAGGGTCGAAAATTGCAAGTTTTACATAAAGAACCTCATACGTGCTTTTGGGCAAGTGGTTGCTACATGTTGCTCCATCTGTGGTAGAAAGCGTTCTACCCATCGAAAATTTGGGAAAAAATTAGAGCCGGTCTAAGATACAAGAATTAACATTAAAGTCAATGGGGAAATCTTTAGTGATCTGTGGCCACTTGTGTTAAAATATATGAAACTTGTGTTGAAATTTATGAAACTTGAAACTTGTGTTGTTTCATACAAATTTGTGTATAACCACCAACAAAAACTTTCCCAATTTGTATCAAGTATAGCAACCTGTCCAATGCAGCACCCCCCCCCCCCCCCTTTGTTATGTTTAAACTGTAATGTTTGATAAATGACATAATAATAAATTTTTGGTTAAATTATTAGTTATTCATTAAATGACAGGCCAAATTAAATTAATACCGTCAATTCAATACTAAATAGATATTTGGAATGTTAATAAACAAAGTTAATTCCAATAAAATTTTGTTATATAATAACAAAATCCCCTCTCCGAAATAAAAAATAGCAAAAAACAAAAACAAAAAAACCCTCAGTAAAACAAGCACTGAGAATATAATAGCCCCCCCCCCCCCAACAAGATATAGTTTAAATTTAATAATGTCCAAAACAAGCACTAATAAGATTAATTATGCATTAAATTGAAATAATTTCAAAACATGGAAAGCGCTTCAAACAAATGGAAAATAAGAGACATTTACAAAATATTTACAGGATTTAAAGTCATATTACAAGTGATTTGTGAGGCCTGTAGATGTAACTAGCATACACAGAACAGCTAACCAAAGAAATATGCACTATTGCATATTAAAACAGTATATGAAATAAAAAATATCAGAGAAAATGACAAATAAAATAATGTCTACAAAATCTTTATATACATATCATAAGCAAGGGGGGGTCATAGTGGTTCAGTGAGTTTAAGGCATGGACTCACTTACATGGAGGTCCTTGTTTGATCCGTATGTTGGTCGAGAAAGTTCATCTGCATTTTCAAGTGTATAGAGCCAGGTCCTGGTCCAAAAAACAAACACGAATGGTACTTGCATCGCCTTTGCACGATTGGCAAGGTCTATGAGAAAATGTTTAGGCAATATCAATAGCCATATCCGACTGTCTTGATCTTTGGAGGTGGGTAACTGAAACAAAAATAGACTATGTATTCGTTGACTTATATTGACAGGACAGTTTTCATTTACATAAAGATAAATTATGGGAGATTAGATAAAGAGCTGCCAGTTCTAACTATAATAGTTAAAAACTAAATAACGTGAAGGTAATTTGCTGACAATTTCAGTCAAATTGATCCATTATGAACCGAGAATTAAGCGATTGAAATTTTGGCCTAGTGTGGATCATCATTACTATAGGTCGGTACGATAAAAACATAGTTTCGATTATCCATTTCCATGATTAAATCATGAATGAAGGTTAAGCAGCGAATCGGATCATAATCCAATAAATGTCACAGACTAGCGTTAACACCAAGAGTTGATTATTATCTGCATAAGCTAATTAATGTCTAATTAAAATTTAGATAACATTTCGGGCCTAAAGAAAGACCTGCAATAGGCAGATTTAGCTTTTGCATAATGTATGTTTAATTACATTGTATGTCTGATGTGTTGGTCTGCTTTGTCACAGATGAGATAGTCATATCTATCTAGCCATAACTAAGATTGTCTGTGCACATACGTGTAGAGTTTTACTATACTAAACTGAATTTTAGATTCCAAAACACCATAGCAACAATCACTTGCTCTCAGAAATCTACAAGCTGCTCTAAACATCACTTTTTCAGCCCACTCTTCTTCCATTTTGTTCTTTTTTTATACACCCACATGTGAACGTATATTGTCGTCGCCCCTGTGCGAATTCCGTCCATAATTGATTTGCGGACACTCTACCGGTCACAAGTTTTATCCGATTTTGACGTAACTTGAGATATAGGTCTATCCCCAAAGATCTCGGTTCCTTTCGATATTGGCATGTATCGTGCCATAACGTCATGGATTATGACCCCTGATTGTGCGAGAAATCAGGTTTGAAGCTTGCGGACACTCTAGAGGTCACAGTTGTCATCCGATTTTGATGAAACTGGAAATGCTTGTTTTTAACCCAAAGATCGTGGTTCCTTTCGACATTCGCGCATATCGGATCGGAACTTCGTGGATGGCCCTTATTGTTCGAAAAATCGCTTTTTATACGCCCACATTTTCATGTGGACGTATATTGTCGTCACCCCTGTCCGTCCGTCCGTCCGTCCGGACGTCCGTCCACAATTGTTTGTGAACAGTCTACAGGTCACAATTTTTATCCGATTTCAACGAAACTTGAAATATAGGTTTATCACCCTAAGATCTCGGTTCCTTTCGATATTGGCATGTATCGGACTGTAATTTCATGGATTATGGCCCCTGATTGTACGAAAAATCATGTTTTTAGCTTGTGAACACTGTAGAGGTCACAATTTGTATCCGATTTAGTTTAAACTTGACATGTTTGATTATAACCCAAAGATCTTGGTTCCTTTCGATATTCGCGTATATCGGAACGTAACTTCCTGAATTATGGCCCCTGATTGTACGAAAAATCGCGTTTTTAGCTTGTGGACCCTATGGTGGTCATAATTTTTATCCGATTTAAAAGAAAACCGTATTATTATATCACCGTTAAACCCTAAGGACGGCTGAGTTCGAATTTTGTGAAAATCGGCCCCAAACTGACAGACAAAATGGCCGCCGTTCGTTCTCAAATAGCGTAAAACTATGGTATATCAAGGTTGTGGACACTATAGAGGTCACAATTTTTATCCGATTTTGTTGAAACTTAAAATGTAAGTTTATAACCCAAAGATCGTTTTTCCTTGCAATATTTGCGCATATCGGACTGTAACTTCCTGAATTATGGCCCCTGATTGTACGAAAAATTGCGTTTTTAGCTTGTGGACTCTATAGAGGTCATAATTTTTATCCGATTTAATAAAACGTATTATTATATCACCGTTACACCCTAAGGACGGCTGAGTTCGAATTTCGTGAAAATCGGCCCAAAACTGACAGACAAAATGGCCGCCCCTCGTTCTCAAATGACGTAAAAATATGGTATATCAAGGTTGTGGACCCTATAGAGGTCACAATTTCTATCCGATTTTGTTGAATCTTGAAATGTAAGTTTATAACCCAAAGATCTCAGTTCCTGTCAATATTCACGCATATCGGACAGTAACTTCCTGAATTATGGCCCCTGGTTGTACGAAAAATCACTTTCTTTTTAGCTTATTCTCTATTCATCCCTCGAAAATGTGGGCGTATCCTGCCTGGCAGCCGCTGCTTTAGCTTGTTGTCCCTCTAGAGGTCACAACTTTTATCCGATTTGAAAATAAACGTTTGAATATATCACCGTTGCACCCTAAGGATGGTTGAGTTCAAAGTTCTTGAAAGTCGGACAAAAACTGCCGGACAAAATGAACGCCCCTCGTACGCAAATAGTGTAATATGATATATCAAGGTTGTGGACCCTATAGAGGTCACAATTTTTATCCGATTTTGTTGAAACTTGAAATGTAAGTTTATAACCCAAAGATCTTGGATCTTTTCGATATTCGCGCATATCGGTACGTAACTTCCTGAATTATGGCCGCTGATGGTACGAGAAATTGCGTTTTTGCCTTGTGGTGCCTCTAGAGTTCCCAATTTGTATCCGATTTTTAAAAAAAAAAAAAAAAAGCTTTTGTATATATCACCGTTACACCCTAATGACGGTGGAGTATGAATTTCCTAAAAATTGGACCAAAACTGACGGACAATATGGGCAGTTTTTCTTTGTGGAGTATTTGGTAAATTCTCAATAATTGCTTAAATCTTTTGAAGTGGGAAGATTCACATCACATCATTGAAAATAAAAATAACAAAACTATAGAGAAACTTCCACAAACAGATCCTAGTACTATCATTAATAAAATTGTATTAGCTGTGGCTGAATCCGTGAAATAATATTAGATTTTGTGGGGAAAATATCTGCTTATTTGTTTTTGTTTGTTATTTTTTAAAAACAACCAGAATTTAGGTGAAGAAGTTATTATCTAGTCCATGTCTGGGTTGATATATATTTTTGCAATAATGTCTATGAAAAAAGGATGACTTCCATCTATCCTGCGTATAAATTCTAGACAGATTCTTGCTGTTTGGCTTGCCTGCCATATCACTTTAGTGGAGAGAGAGAGAGAAATGGGATTTAACGTCCACTCGACACAAACTAGGTCATTTCGGGACTAACATATGGTTCAATTTATTTCAATAATTCGCTTGCGCGTAGGGGTCTTTAGCAGTGGGAGGAAACCGGAGGACCCGGAGAAAACCCACGAGGTTGGACAGGCGACCCTACTCCTTGTCACGTACAACCGGAGAATCGAAACCACGCCAGTTGACTCAATGACAGACTTTATGATACAGCGCGCGCACGCTAACCATTCAGCCATCCACCCCCCCCCCCCCCCTCCACTTTAGTGGAAGCAGACGTTCAAGCACCAAGGTAGTAGTAGTTACCTGCTGGCCCGAGTCAATGGGTTTCCTAGTAATTATAGTATTTGAACAACGGCGTAGAGCCGAACAACTAATGGTAATTAAGCACGATTTCAAAAACATTAGACGGGTTCATTCGATTGCTGAATTACCGGAACGCTTTTATTTTTTCCTTGTCCGTCATTATGTATTAA